GATAGGTTGAAATCTTAATATCTATTCCTGTTCCTAATATTTCCTCCATTGTGCACAGGGCCTTATTTTCAAGATATGAACTATAAAACTCTTGTCAAGTAAATCAAGTAAATATAGACCTGAGGTGACAGCTATACGAGCCAAAAATAAGTGGAACTTTTAAGTTTTTTTCGATTTTCTCGTGAAATCCAGTGCAGCTGAGGTCCTGTTTGTGCGTACTTTAATTCTGTAATAATAATTTTGCAAACTGTCAATCCATTTCGGAGATTTGTTACCGAATGAAAAAAGTAGGACGACTTTAGCATTCCCTTAAGCCATAAGAAATGGATGAATTATAGTCGAATATTCTCCTCCCATTCGACTGTAATTGGACAGTTTCCTACGGCTCAAGGTTTAAAACACCTATGTAGAGACCGGACTTAAGGCGAGTGTCTTATGTAACCTTAAGGTTAGCGTCTTAAATAATGTCTCAAGACGCTATGCGGCCCTCTGATTGGTTCGTGACATCTTAAGACCATACTTAAGACGGTCTTGAAGATAAGAATCGACTATGGGTGCGTTCGGTGAGCTCACTACCAGCACTACCGCATCACACTATCTTGTTGTTTATTACACGAAAAACAAAGATAGAACGATTCGATAGCGCTAGTAGTGAGTTCCCCGAACGCACCCATAGTCGATTCTTATCTTCAAGACCGTCTTAAGTATAGTCTTAAGATGTCACGAACCAATCAGAGGGCCATAGGCCGGTATTCATAGTCGAGTCTTATTTCAAGACCATCTTAAGTAATGTCTTAAAACGCTAATGCAGCCTTCTGATTGGTTCGTGACTTCTTAAGGCCATACTTAAGACGGTCTTGAATATAATAGGCCTTCTACAATAAGCCACAAGTCAGAACGTCAGAAGACTTAACCAGTATTAACCAAGTTGTTCAAGTTGGCTATTGGCCAACTTCAACGATTATGACTTAAGATCGCTTAGAACTTCTGACTTGCGGCTTATTGTAGAAGGCCTATTATATTCAAGACCGTCTTAAGTATGGCCTTAAGAAGTCACGAACCAATCAGAAGGCTGCATTAGCGTTTTAAGACATTACTTAAGACGGTCTTAAATATAAGATCTGACTATGAATACCGGCCTATGAATACCGGCTTATGACATTTTAATGCCTACGGCACACCAGCGCGATATCCAAGATGGCCAGGACCATAATGCGGGATCTACAATAAATAGCGTATACGATTTACTAACTCGACCTGACTCCGAGTCAATGGTCTGTCCTGTTTAGCTGCAAAAGAAGAGCTACATTGTGCAAGAAATGCAGCTAAAAAGAACAGACTATTGACTCGGAGTCGGGTCGAGTCAGTAAATCGAATACGCTAAAGGGTCCTCTACATAGAAGTCGTAGACGGTCGTCGAAAATTAAGTCGTAGAAAATTGACCAATCATAGTCGAGTATTCTTCTCATATTCTACTGTACTCAGTAAAAAATAAACCAAATTTGTAATTTTAGTTTATTCCCAGATAGCACATTATATTCTGAGAATATACTAAAAAGGTCACGTCTGATATTCGTACGATATTCCTGTGTCTGCAGCAACATTGTTCGCAGTATATCCTCAGAATATCGAGATGAATTAAAAAAATTTTCCTTAAGAGTGTGTCAGAAATATCTATTAAAAATAATATTTTGTTAGCGAAGAATATTATTTTTAATAGATATTTCTTACACACTCTTAAGGAAAATTTTCGAAATTCATCTCGATATTCTTATTTGTCTATAAACAATTTCTATCCATGTTCAATCTGTTAAATCTTTTCATTGTCAAAGCAGCATTAATGTTAATAAATAATGAAAGAAGAATAAAGTTTTCTGTCAAAACATACTGTATTTAATTGATTTTGTAATTTAACTAAAAAAATTATGTTGTCCAGTCGTTAATTTAATTGTGTATAAATGAAATGGAAAACGACGTTAGGTTTTTTGTGTATTATACTAACATTCGAAAATAGACTCGAAATTATATCGATATATTATCTTGCAAATTAGCGAATGAGCATAAGAATTTTGTTGTAGAACTTTAAGTAATATGTATATTTTATATTTTTAAATATTTAAATAATCAACAAATTATAATTTATATTACATTTTCTAAAGCACATCATTTAGCACTGCGATTTAGCATGGATATGCACCACATGAATTTCCGACACCGTGTTTTTATCGCCAATACGTAGCTATGTAGTTCCTAAATTGAAAATAGCTGTACTGGCGCTAGTGTACCTGCGATTTGGTTCATATTATCGGATAGTCGTTCTCAAGTTTCTCTCTAGTCTTACTAACCTTAACTAACCTGAATTCGCGTTGTGTGGCGTACACTGTGCCTCTACTCCAACTTACTCCACTGTATCTATATTCTTCCAAATCTTCTGTTAATTCTGTTTTTGTGTATGATGTTTACCATTTCGATCAACATTTCTTCGTTAAAAGATATTATTTCTTGATTAATATTGGTGGCAAATCGTTTTACCATTAGAATAATATAAATTAACGTTTTGCAATAAAATATTTGTTGTAAGTATGTGTACCTGAGTATACCTATGAATCTAAACTCTAAAGAGACCAGCATGTGGAGTACTTTATTTCCCCGCTTCTTTTTTATTTGCTTTATAACTTATAGAACGTTTAAACAAATCACCAAACGATTTTTATGCTTATTATGACATAATGTCTAATATTAAATAAAAATAATTAAATTACAAGATTGCAATATTTTTATTTTATGATGTTTAGTTTATTGAGGTTTGAAAGAATTAAAATGTGTAACATCATTAATTAGCGAAATATTGTTTAATGTATGTATACGAAAGTGTACGAAATATATAAGTATACGATTTAATATACAAAATTACATATACAAAATATATATATATATATACGAATGTATATGAAAGTATATATTTACATTATATATGTATAGGTTATGATAAACAATATTTCAATAATTAATAATGTTACACAACATTTTATTATCTTAATTGTTTAAAATCCTACATGAACTTATCATATGAAACATCATGAAATGAGATGATATAAGATGTTATAATATGATTCTTATTGTTAAGATGTCATAATCTTATACAATTCTTCTTATTAATATTATGTGACATATTTGTAAATATATAATTTATATTTGTAAATATAAATTAATAACAACAGATTAATAATTCCTGTTATACATTTTATACATATCTTATACATATCTTTTCCATTAGAAAGATGGATAATATCTTTGGAAAGGAAGATTCTGGAGATGAAAAAGATAGTGAGCATAAAGATGTGGAAGAGCATGAAGATAATAAAACTAGTCTTACACATAATTCAGGGTCCAAAGATATTGAAGCTATGGAGATTGATAATATTGTATCATTTGTTAAGGTATAAATACTATCGAAAAATTAACTTTTGTCTTTTAAGATGGTTCTTTAGTAAAGTGTTGAAAATTTGAGTTGCCTCACCAAGGCTCACCCAAAATTACAAATATCTACATAATTTGGATAAAACATTAAAACTACATATATATCTTGATGAAATAGTATGGAACATACAAGTATTAGTAAATCAAGAACTGCATCTTCATCAAACGAAAACAAGATGAGATTATGTCTACTTTTCGAGATTAGATTTATATGCAAGTTTGTGCAAATAAATATCTTTCCAGAATGGCTGTTAACCTATTACCTTTTTGTGATCATTAAAATCGTAATTTTTTAAAACTATTATAATTTTATTTTTGAGAAAAGTCTATGATAAGATTTGTGTACAGTTAGTCAAAGAAGCGTCTGCAAGTCTTATCTATCACTAAGTTATTACGTGAAAGGTTACATTTACAATATTTTTTTTCTTTCTTATTTCATCGTTAACCTACAATAGAATTTTGCACACATCAATTTCGGTACTTCAATTTCATTATATAATATAAAAAATTAGACATATCTGGTAACTCGATTTCTTATAGAACCATCTTAAACTAATTGTATTTGTATTATATAGGTAGAATTGGATGCAATGAGTTCTCAATCGCAATCAGATGCTGAGGAGATTGAAAACACTGGATCTAATTCTACCTGCCCAGTTGCAGAGAATAAAGTTGTAGAGACTGTGAAACAAGAACTTGATATGAAGGTAGAGGAACAAACTGCTGAAGATATATTTAGTAATGACATTATGATACCTCGTGCCAATCCAGTCAGTACAAAAGAAAGGCGGGAAAGTAAAGAGAAGAGCAAAAAGGAGATAGAAGAAGAGGAGAGAGAAAAAATGCAGTATGTATCTGATGTTTAATGATCACAATACAAAAAGGATGGTTTGAAAAAAATCGTCATAAGTCAAAAAGGATGATTCTTTAAAGATTGTGAAACAAAAATGAGAAAAATGACACTGGATCATGTTAAGAATATATTCTCTTTACCAATATTGATTAATTAATAATTTTCTGCCAAGTTAAAAAATACTTTTCTCCTTTTATGAGAAATTTAATTCTTTTAGTTATGTGACTTTTGAAGTAAGGGAATGATATTATTATTGGGTATTTAAAATATTTATATGCGTGTGTGCTTTTACCGAATTCGTTATAAGTTTATATACACATTATCTTGAGAATATATTTGAAAATTTTTTGTAGGGTGCTAGTATCTAACTTCACTGAAGATCAGCTAGATAGATACGAAATGTACAGACGATCCGCATTTCCAAAAGCAGCAATAAAGAGGGTACTGAATCTTAGTTTTGATCATTACATGCAAAAAATAAAATTTTATTTTTAAGAAAATATTTTATTAAATATTTCAGATTATGCAAACCATAACAGGTTGTTCAGTATCTCAAAACGTTGTTATAGCTATGTCAGGAATTGCTAAGGTATTTGTTGGCGAAATTGTTGAAGAAGGTAAGAGTTTTTTTTTTGTAAATATTAAAACAGAATATTAGAATTTTACTCTAGATTGCGTTTGTCGAACAGCTTTAGATGTTATGGAGGCGCAAAATGAAACTGGCCCATTACAACCAAAGCACTTGAGAGAGGCTGTCCGCAGATTGAGGTTACAGGGTCAAATACCGAATGGTCGGGCACACAAAGCTTTCTTCAGATTATAATTAGTCCGATATTTGCAACATATTAATTTAATGTTTCTTTCGCAGAAATGTACCGACATTAGAGTAATCTAAATATAAATTATATAGTTTGCCCAGATTAAAGTTGGGTTTTTTAAATTATTCTAACTACCTTTATAATTCAAAGCATTATCTATTTCGGCTAGAGTTAAAATTTATTTATATGTGATAAATGTACATTTTACTAAAATATTTCATATTTTTCATCTACGTAGATAAAACTTAACCTAGTTATACATATATTTTTATATCGTAAGAAAAAATGATCTCAAAAACTCACGTTTTTTAACATACCTATTTTGTGACTCTCACACACAAATCAAAAATATATTTAGGATAAAAGTTGTTTATCTTGAAATCCTGGACCAAAATGATCTGCTAAACATATTTTTTCTTGCATTTGTTTTCGAGAAATTCCGCAAAAACTTTTCTGAGGATAGTTTAAAAAAATAAACAACAAGGATAGAGGAGTCAAAAAATTATTCTGATTAATTCTAATAAAAATCTCACTATTTTCAAGGATATATTAACTTTTTTTTTATTTATTTATTTATCAAGGACACATATCAACTTTCTTTTTGTTTATAATGCTTGAACAATATTAGGAATTTGATCATTTTAACTCCAAATTTATCCCTATGCTTAATTTAATTTTTTTCTGAGATTAATGTCCCATTCCAGATAGCCAAGTCGTAGAAATAAATTTTAAATAGAGTATACTATCAATTTCTGATGGCAGAAAGGCTACAAGTTTTACATAGAGTCTATATCTGACAATGTGTGTGTATGTGTCGGTAAACTGTTAGAAATATGCTTATATATTAGAAATAGTAAAACCCGCTGACATGTTATGCTAGCAGGTTAGCGGTAGAAACCGAACAAGATTTGTAGCTTCTGCTCAGTTTCTGTTGCCAATCTGTTGTCTGATTATGTTAGCAGATTCTGTCGACAGAATCTTGATGGAAACAGAATGCGTCTGTACTTGATGTCGGTCTGCTGACATTTCTAATCAAATCTGTTGCTAGTCTGCCGACTATTTTGCTTACTGGGATCATATAGCATTGTTTGGCATACAGTTCAATTCGAAAATCAAGAGTCACAAAATGGGCTAAATTTTGGGGGCATTTTTTATTATATATAATGATTATAAATTTTAGATTGTGAATCATCATTAGTACATAGACTAATAGAAACATTTTTTATTACTAAGCATTCATGCATATGTAACATACAGTACACAGATTCATATTTTGGAAGTTTCATGAAACAGTAATATATCTTATATGATAGGAAAGTTTGATGATAATATTTAGTTGTATTTTTATACACAGTCAAGATACCCATCAATCATTATGTATAATCTTTATAGCGCATTTTTAAATATAAATGTAATGTTTTATATTAATTACTGCCATTGAACTTGTTTATTGCCTAATTATTAATATATAGTTTTACGTAAACCTTTAAAGTTTAATTATCAAATCTCTAAATATAAATAAATTGTAGCAACATAATTATATGTAAATATATGAATACTTTGTTTTTTTTTAAATAGCGACAAATTGTATATAATTACGAAACATTCACAATTAAGGGATATTTTGAAATAAAAGAAAAAGAAAAACAAAATATAGCAAACTACAGAATAAACATAATAGTTATTTTATAAATTATTTTATAACACTTATAATATATGTTATAATCTACATTTTTCATTATGTTTGCAGGAACATTTACTTGTTCCCTCTGGTTTTTATTTCATTACTTGACTATGAAAAAAGGAAAATATATTCTTTAATTGATGAAAAAGGCGGATAAGAATATTTAACTATTTTCTTTCTTGTTCAAATACGGTGTTTAAACATAGCCTGAGCTGTATAAACAACATATTATACTATATTAGAACTCTTTCAATACTCCTATTTGTATTTTGCATATAATAAATGGTAAAGACAAAAGTACTGTGAATTTAGACACAGTTTTCTATCGATATTTATATACATGTCCATAACCGCGCAATGAGAACCGAAAATATGATATGCAAATGTTACTTAAACTAATTTTGACGTACAATATTTACTTCGGATGCGTAATTTATGAAGTATTAAATTTTCCGAAATCTTGCATTACCAGAGCATTTGCTATTAATGTATCGAATTATGAGTATAATATTGGATCGATTATAGATTCGAATGATGAAACCAAAAGGTGCAGTAATGCCACGTTATTCAAAGAATATTACTTATATTGTTACTTGTTACACATACATTACAAAACATTCATTATAATACAAATCTGTTAATCTCTTTATTTCTTCATGAATACGAGAATGTCATTAGGTACATACCGCGGCGAGTAATACATTTTTTCCGTTGTTTTTATAATAAACGTTAAGAAAGATAAACGTTCTCATTTCTATATGCATACTTGTTGACTAGTTTATTCAATAGTTTGATGTATTTCAGTAATGAAAGACGCTTTTATTCAGACATTTATTCGCAATTGTGTCACCGTTCCATTCAGCGAATCACAATGGATAAACCCAAGGTTCGCAAAATAAGAAGCAAAAACCTATACATGTGTTTCAACTTTGAGAGTCCCATATCGTGTTTGTTAAATAAATATGTTATACTTATTGCATATATTACATAGACATTGGTAGATAAAACAAGACACTGACCTCATTATTGCAGCGTTATTGGAAAAATGTAAAGAGAAATTTCTACCTGTACTTTCAAACAAGCGCTGATATAATCTATCGGCGAAAGTTGCTTGGTTACGAGCAAGATTTTTTCAAAATTCGCCCTATGAGATATAACAAGTCTAAAAGAATACCTCATGAAATTATCCAAATGAGGGTGTCAGGTTTGAAGAAGAAACATGATGTCATTGCAAAGGATACCTACTCGAACGATGGAAATATAGGTGATAAGATAACAAGGAAAATAATTCTGTATAAAAACCATCGAACATTTAATTTTTTGTTGATATCTTTTACAATGTCCTTTCTGATAATAAAATAGCAAAAAATATATTGTAAGAGATATCAGCAAAAAATTAGATGTGCTATGTCAAATTATATTTCTATTCCAATAAATATGTATTACTATACATGCAAATATTTTAAAATTAATCCTTTGAATGTACTGCTTAATTTTAAAGAGACAATTTTTTTCTGCAGTTTAACAATTTTTTCATTTTCCTTTTTTTTTATTTTTTTATTTGTAATTATCATAATTTTTCTACTACAAAAAGTGATTAACGTATTAATTAATAGTTGTCCATTTTAATTATTTTGTAACCTATTTGTTACATAAATATTATTTTGAACATGATTTATTAAATAATATAAACGTTAAAAAAATGTATTTTATAAATATAAAGTAATGAGGAAGAACTATTAATTATGTAATAGAAGTACATGGAGGAATAGAAAGTGTTATATGTAGGCGTTGTAAAATAAATTCTCAGTTTCGTAAGTTCGCATTTCATAATTTTATAAAATTCGCGTAACAAATTTTCGTTAGTTATTGTTTTATGTAGCGTAATGAAATTGAACGTGAAGCGTTGAAGATGTGAAATTCTGTTTTTTCTTTGCCTCTCACTGCAGATTGGGCAGCCTGGGACAATTGGAGCATTTGGAGTGCGTGCAGTGTATCTTGCGGGCAAGGACGACAGGTCCGTTGGCGTCATTGTTTGTCCGCAGATTGCACTAAAGGTCTCAAGAAGGCACAGTTAAAAAGCTGCCATCTGAAGGATTGCGGTACCAAAGGCATCTTCGGTTGGCTCGGGATAAAATCGTGATCCGTTTACGACTTGCGAAAGCGATCGACAAAGTCTTCTTGACATCATTATATGGAAAGTACTAAGCGATCTCGAGAACGCACAAACAAAAAAGTCCTTACTTTGTAAACTATTACACGGAGAGAGTTCATTTCCGGATATTACTCTTTCCCGGATAAAATCATCTTGATTTGACAAGAAGAATACAAGAATGCAAGCACGGTTGAGCCATGGATCATTTTCCTTACTATTTTTATAAGATTGCACTGTAACGAATTAAAAAAATTTGAATTTGAAAAATAGATTTAAAGATGAAATGTGTGTATTAGTACAATATATCTATATACATATGTAATATACATGCACTACGTTCTGAAAATGTATACAATATATTTTGTTAATATTAAATTGAGTTTTAAATTATGATTCACAGAAATGGTTCTTTTCATGGCTATTATTTTATAGCAACAGTATATATAATATTGATTGTTATTTGTTCAGAACTTTATATTCAATGTGAATTTAATAGTTTAATGTAAATTTTAATCATCGATGCTTTAATGAGAAAGAATCAATCAAATTTGCACAAATACATTTTTCTATAAGTGTAATATCGCTATCATAATAGTGATAGGATACTGGAACAGCCAATTACATTTGGGTTTAAATTTACTCTACTATTTTATTGCGCATTCATGAGAATTACACCTGTCTTTATATTACATCATGGTTTTAATTATATAGAACAAACTTCATTGCGGCAATTCCGTATGTCGTATCATCAGCGAAGTAGACGGGGCCAAATAAGAAAAGAAGAAGAAAATAATTCCGTTTACATTAACGTTACATTCTATATACATAAATCAATGCATAAAATATATTAATGGATAGAAATAGATTGATCTTTGCTTATTTTGCTATGTTCCTGCTTTTTATGGGTAAATATTCTGCTAAAGAATATTTATATTCTAACACAGTATATTACTCCTTTATGCGAAATGACTTTTCAATTTTAGCCTTTAAAGAAACCACTCCGGAAATTGACAAAACGTCGTCAAATATTGCACCTTACATCGTTGAAAGTGATATTGACACATCAAAAATAAAATCGGATAGACTCCAACGTAAAATTTATGATATATTTCGCGATATTGACGATGATCGCGAAGAGGATGATAATATCCAGTCACTGATAAAACGAGGTAAACACGGTTGCATATAAAATCAACTATTTACAATTAAAAGATATAATTAAAATAGGTTTAATATAATTATAGAATAAGAAATTTCAATGAAGATTTATTGCTGGAACATGTTATACTGTTATTTGTACTAATTATTAAACTTTTTCTACTACAAAAGAAAAAAGTGTTATAAAAAAATTTTTATTAAATTGACATTATTTATAATTTTTAAGGTGAAGAATCCAATGGTGTTAGTTAAAATTACAACACGTGGAATACACAAAAAATTGAATTTATTCGTGAAACAAATATCTTGTTCTAATATTAAAAATATACAACAGCTTATAAAAATCCTACATTAATAACTATTAAATAGTTAGACGCAACAAAGTTTTCAAGCACGAACACGTTTGAATCGATTTCCCCCATTGGCGGACAGCAAAAACAGGCCTTTTCATAATGTCTTTCTTTAGATAATCCATAGAATTTTTAGTAAAGCGTTTATTGCAACATCAATAATTCATTTGATCGGCATTTTATCGCAGAGTTATATCAATTAACTAGCGCACTTGTGAAATGTTGCTATATGAAACTATGTAACTCTACTTTTTTTTGTGTCATTACAGAGTAAGTATATAGGGAGTATCTTAAATAACGCTCACTAATCATACAGTACTATTCCTAATAAAATAATTAAGTCGAAAAATCCTTTACGCATTTTGTAATTTTTGCAATAGTTAACGAGATATTAATTTCTAAAGATTGCCGAATAAAATCGATATATAAGACAATTTTAAAATATCTTTTAGTGTTCTTTGTGAAATATTTTGAAGATATTTCTTAAAGAACTTTTAAAGATATTTTATATATATATAAAGGTATCTTGTACGTCGATTTTAGACATTTTACTTATTGGATAATTAAAAAAAATATATTGCAAAAATTGCAAAATGGTGGAGGCTTTTCGACTCAGTTTTTTCATTAGGAATAGCACTATATGATTAGTGAGCGTTATTTTAAATACCCTGTATATAGACGTGGATTTATTATTTAAATGAAGCGTGAGGGTCAATAAATAAATAAAAAAGAGTAGGTGCGAATCATGTGCAATCGCAGGTCGCACACTGGTCGATGATTGTGGCTTTCTCCGAGACCGGTTCAAGATTTACCTTTCCGCAATACCGATCATTGAAACATACATGAACAACATTTGGGCAGTGCGTGGATGGAAATTTCCATGAGTTGCATGGCTGGAATATCTTTTCTTTCTTGCAACATCGTGGTTTGAAATTCTTGTGATATGAACAACGAGAGTGCAACATTGCGTAACATATATTTGCAAAAATTTAAATTTTTACTCCTGATCACTCAATTCGATCAAACTGAAGAACAACTAAAACTTATAATAATAACATAAAATTGGTAATGGATAGAAATTTTGACTGTTTTCTTTCAATTTCCAATCAACGCAATTTTGTTCAAAATGCATTTAATAAACATTAGAAATTATATAATAAATGTAACAAAAAAATAAACATTTAAAATTTGATACTTTTTAAAACTATTTAATAAATGTACACGCATCTACTGTTAAACATTTCTTTTACTAGTTTCAAATATTTATTTTTACGAGACATTTGACGATTAATGAACATATATTTAACGTCAGTAACGTCTAGTTAATGAACGTTTTTATACAGCAAAAAAGCGTTTCAGGTAAATGTTTTTTGAACGTAAATTGTTGCTAAAATCAGAAATACTCGTATTATCTAAGCGAAATTAATATCGAGAATTTTTTAGCAATATTTCATGTAATTTATCTTTCTTATTGACGTAATAATTATAACTTATATTAAAAGAGGTAGAACAATTAATCTTAATTTCTAATATTACTAGAATCTGACTTAATCCAAGTTGTGTATATATGCGCGTACATGTAAAGTACGAACAAAAAATAATACAAGTGAAATGTGTACAAGCAACAAAGTTTAAGTAATGGATGGAAGTTTCCATAGAATCGTTTACTTGAAATGCTTTTTAATTTTTAACTATCCTTTTCTCTCAAAAGAAACCAATGTGAGTGAAGTTATTAAGCATATTTGATCTATGATTGAAATGTTTTTTTTTTTAAATATATTCTGACACTGTAAACTTCTACAGTTTATTTATACCTTAATTGGATTTTGTAGAATTTGTTGTTTCTTTATATAATTACAACTTATGTAATTATACCGATATACTAAAAGATTAGTATTTTGTTTTTGATCTTAATTTTTTACTACATTCATTAGAATTTGATTTTTATACAAGTGGAATTAACTGGTATGACATTATTTCAGAAAAAAACAACAGAGAACCAAAAATATGGGATCAATGGGGTAATTGGTCAACATGCAGTGTCACTTGTGGAATAGGCAAGATCATGAGATGGAGACATTGCATAGGCGGACGTTGCTCCTTGGGGGAGAAGAAAGCTCAGTTGAAAACGTGTACTTACGCAGCATGTTAAAATATTTTTCATGCACTATGTAGTTTTAAGAAATTTACATTGTTTTCATTAATGATAATTAAATGGAAGGAAACGTGAAGTTAAAAATTATAGAGAAATTTCTAAGTAAATAATTCTATGGAAACTTCTATTTATTATTCGGATTTCGTCATTTATATATCTTTTATTTTTATATTTTATTTTTCATACATATTTCTTCAATAAAAACAAATGTATTTTTGTTTTAGAAAATTAAATTTGAATATTTTTTTGCTTTTTTATTTAAATATTTTTGTAAGATGCAGATTTTAAATTCAAAATTTTGGGAGAATTACAAATGAGATAAATGTTTTTTTATAGTATTTTTACAAGCTAGAAATATCTGCAATTAATCATTATCATAGGTGATTGTGTCTAATGAAATATAATACATATAAAATCTTATTAATCAAGCAGTTGTTGATCAATGTAATAAATGGTAAGAATATAAGACATGAAATAAAAATCCATTATAGATTTATTTAATGTCCACAAAATGAACTTTATTTTTTTGTATAGATATGAATTACTGATCTACATAAATTTATAAATACTTTTCTTAATTTAACAACAAGTGCTTCACAACCTAAGCCTCTTTTTATGTATATGTTTCTTATTCTCTTTGAAAGTAGTCATCAGATTTATAAATTACGGGTGATTTATATACTGATGTTGTACTTGATGCAACTGGTTCATGAGTTTTCTTCTGAAAAATTCAATTCAAGTTGCTTAAGAAATTATTACGTACGTGACAATCATATAAAATGTATAATTTAATTATTTAATAATTTAAAATATATGCTAAAGTGTATCCTTTAAGTATGTCGTACTTACAAAAAATGATAGAGGATTCAATATCCCGAATAATCTATCTGATACACCTAGATCAGCCTCTGCCTTGTCTACAGCAGCTTCCAACGTACTTAAATTCATATTTGCCATTGCAACAATGTGCTCTAGTGCATCTATCCTATTGCGAAGAGTTGCCATACCATCTTTCATTTGTTGTAACTTTGGAAGATGTTGCTGCATGCATTCAGCACTGCTATTCTCCACCTTGAAAGACAGAAATGTTTAATGTTTCAGTATCGATACTTAGAGTATTCTATTTAGATTCATATCTAACCATTGCAACAATCGATTGGAATTCCTCCAGTCGTATCAATGTATCCTCTATAACACCGCGAACATTTTTCACCTAAAACCAGCACGAGTTATTTATTAATTTCTTACATAGCAAGATATCAATAATGGATAGGATACAAAATACAAATAGCACACTCGCCTGATTACTCCAGTCCACTTTTGCATAATTCACATAATCTTTAACC